TAAAAATAAATAATTACAAAAATTAATTCTTAATCTAATAATCATGCATTAAATGAATCAACTAAATATTACTAATAATTTAAATTAAATTAAAACGTTAAAATGTTACCGTATCAGCAAAGTGTAGAGATATATGATTTCCATCCGAGCGAAGTAGACTGCCTTCTATTATATATCTGCAAAAGAATTATATTAGTAAAATATTAAATAAAGTAAAAACATAATAGTAAAAATATTATAAAATATACCTTAAAATAGAGTATTTGAGAGAAATTTAGAGAATTTGAGAAAATTTGGTGTGATAAAAGTGATTGAGGATTGGAGTATTTATAGGGAGGTTAGGGACGTGAATTAGGGGTATAGCGTGCCCCTGCACCGCGCTATACTCCACGTGTCAGATATACATGTATAGCGCGCTACAGGGGCCGCGCTATACCCACGTGGCGCCAGCTCACCGTATAACGCGGTGCAGGGGGCGTGATATACCCCACGTGACGCCAAATCATCGTATAGCGCGGTACAGGAGGCGCGCTTTACTGCTAAGGGTGTTAAATCAGAAAATATAGTATGACCGATGTTAGATCGATAATATTACCAGTCACCGGTGATATATCGAGAAAATCGCATAGGATTCGCATGCCCACATTCACATTATATTTATATCTTATCACATCAACTTTTCAGCCACTATTTTTTATATATGACTACACTATTTCTCAAAAAAAAAATCTCACATCCCTTCTTTTTCTTTCCCATGTAAATTTCTCTCATCTACACTCCAATCAATATAACTTCTTCTATTATACAGCAAATTTTATATTTAAATTCTGGATATTCACCTTCATTACTTTTTTAAAAATTTATTTTGTAATAGAGTTGAATATTTGATATACGATTTTATTAATTAATAGCTAAATAATATTATTCGAATTTTAAAATATAATAATCATTCTCAAATTTTAATTTGTTACAAGAGAGGGGGGAGTCGCCCTTTAAAATCACTCGTCAATTTAGGGTTCGTTTAGTTGGACCGTTTTTCTGTGTTTGGTTATCGTAAAATAAGAAAGTCAATATAATTTATTTTACGGTCAAAGGAAATCTCAAAGCAAAACACGGAAAAATGACTTACCGTTTGGAAAAAAGGCAAGTCATTTTCCTTCGTTTTCCGTCCCTTGCTCCACACTGAAACTCTTCGTCTCCCAACGGAAAAAGATTGGGTCTTTAGCTTTGTTGGTTTTCTCGATCTGGGTATTGTCTAAAACTCGTACTTGTTTGATTTTGGTTGGTGAGTGGGGATGAGGAAGAAGAAGAGGGAGAGGGAGAGGGAGAATCCGTGGGCACTATCACAAGTACGAGGAAGGGGAAGTTTGTGGGATGTGTGGGCATAGAACTCCTGTCTCTTCCGACAAGATATCGCTTCAAGTCAGTGCTTTCCCATCGGAGATCATGCCTGACTTTCTCTATTTGGGTAGCTATGATAACGCCTCTCGCTCCGAGCTTCTAAAGACTCATGGAATTTACTCGTGTCCTTAATGTAACCTCCTTCTTCCTCCTCATTTTCGTTTTTTTTTGTTATTTCTGTTTGCGAATGTTAATACTATCTGCTTATGGTTTTATTCTGATTTAAATTTATGGATTTTGGGATTAAGAATAATTTGGAAAAGTTTTCTTATGATTGTTAGCTAATTGGAACAAGAAAGCGTAAATTTTTGGATTAGGTTTTGTGATGTATGTTGAGGTTTTTATGCTGCTACTTGAAGAACTTTGATGGGATTTCTCTATTTTACGTATTTGAAGAAAGAACATTTTGGGATTTCTGTATTTTGATGGTAAAGATTAGATTAGCAGGTTTTCCATACTTAATAACAAGCAAAGCCTATAGGAGTAAGATCTTGTAATTTTGTTGATCTAGAAAATTCCTTTGTCAGTTGTAGTACCAATTATGGAAGTCCTATTGTTATCTGTATGCTTAGGGGTGTGGATGAAAAATTGGTTACCTCTTTGGGAATACTGTTAAGTTAATAGGAGTACTATCCAGCTCCAATGGATTTACTTGGGATAATGGAGAATATTCCTTGGTGTTTTCTATTTGTGAATAAGGCTAACACCATGTTTATTAATGATAACTTGGAAACATGGGGAAGAAGTTTGATATCAAATGTGTGATATTGATTTGAGGCAACACCAGAACAGGTTGTATGAGTGCAATTTATCGAACTGAGGCCTCAAATTAACTGAAAGATCTGATGGTCAAACAGTAGTAAGAGCAATTCTGTTGCTTTTAGGTCCTTTAGCCTTCAAAAGGAGAAAATGAGGGTAGAATAGTCGTAAATTGAAGTTGTAAGATTTTGTATCTTGAATTATAAAATAGGATAATTAACATTGCCACTTGTTTATGTAGGTAAGCATATAATGATAGTTTGAAGATGAGGGTGGATGGTTAATACTGTGTTAAACCTTGAATGTTACTGAATCAAATACATCATAATTGAGATAGATATATGCATCAAACTTTATTTTAACTACTGTGATAAGGTTTCCTTTGTAAAGTGTAATAGGGCTGAGGAAAAATTGGGATTGTGGACTTGCACTACAACAGGTCCACAAGTATGTTTTTGATGTTGAAAATCATAACCGTTCAACTAAGCAAGCCAGTAGTTTGTGAACTTCCAATGCTAACAGCGATGCGATTGGAAGGATCGTCATGGGAATGTTGTAGGATTGATGGTGTCAAGATCCATTCATTTTCGTTTTTCATTGTGCAGTTTGTTCTCCTCTTTGTTTGATGCTGCGTCTGCTAAAATACATATTGGTGGCTCTTAGGCATCTAAATTGTAGCTTACAGTTATGGCATATTCTTATATTGTTTACAATATTTCTTTGCAGACTGTACCTGCTTGTCAAAATATCTACAAGAATTCATTTACCTATCACTGTCTGCAAGATGACAAAATTTTACAATTTGATGATGCAATACAATTTTAGGTGCGTAACCATTGTGTTTCATAACGAAGTTTCAGTTTGCGGTTGAAAGGTTAATTTTGGTATCACGTCATTTGTGCGAGGCTTTGTTATTCCCTCTTTCACGTATCGATTTTCTTCCTTTGCATATTTCAAGAGATTGGCCTGAGCAGAATTTAATAATTCACCCTCTCTTTAGGTGATGAGAAGCATTTACTGAATATAATCTCTCTTTTTATAGTTTCATAATGAGTCACTTTGGTTTTCTCAATTCTCATCAATAACAGCGTGTATTCTGCTGCATGTTCATAATAAGGCTCCAGTTATTGTAATAGCTTTCTTGATGAGATCTAAAGGATGGAGACTTCCCCAAAGCTATCAGTTTGTGAAAGAACGGAGACCGTCTGTTGATATAAATCAAGATATTTATCAGCCCCGGCGTAGATTACCTAATATCATGGAAGCCATTTTATGTCGCTGTTTCATCCACTTAATTGAAACCATAGGGATATCACATGGTATTATTTGGATGAGGGAAAAAAGACCGTCGTAATATCTTTTGCGATTGGTAGCTATCTACCAACAGTTGCAGGAATATGAGCAAAAGCTCTTTTGATCATCACATGACAATAACCCTGCTTTTCTTGCCTTCCAACCTGGCGGAGCCCCGTTCAACGTCTTCTTCTCAAAGGCAGATGATTCAGTTTCAATTCCAGTCAGTAATCTTGGTACTCCGTCTACTTTTGTCCTTTGGCCGCTCAAGTTTATAATTGGTGCAGCAGAGCCGGAGAAGAATCTCTGAAAACCTAGCAAAACTAGTTGCAGTGTTATTCCAATGGATAACACTTAATTTGGCTGTAAATTTCTAGTAAATGTTTTTTTTCCCTTGCATGTTATATTTGGCGAATGTTAATGAAACATAGTCCGGCTTGTTCCAAATTTTATACACGTATAACTTCTTTTGTTTTTCGTTTCCAGAATAAATATCTAATGGTTTTGGAGCTGTTTCATGAAACCCTTCTGTCTTGTCATATATGTTCAATGCCATTATAATAGCATTGTAATCATGCTAGTAACATACTAACACTCACCATAATACGATTTGGAATGAGAGTGACTGGTAAATTTACATGTTATCATATAATACCATAAAAAAGAATTTTTTTTTTACATAATTGGTCCCAACCCAAATTCTTTCTTCACATAACATTTTTGAAAATATTACGAAGTTGGCAAAATCTTGAGCTATCGTAGAGGAAGTCTGTAATTAAGGCATGAACACGTCTTACTAGTACAATCCTAAATTACGGTTACAAATTTACAAGGGAAAATGAGTTTAATGACGGTTGAAAGACTATTGAATCATTATTATCTGTATATGTATGTTTCTTTATTAAAAACAGATTCTGAAAACTGTTTTCAGAAAAATTAATCAAACAGTGTAAAACATTTTACAATGTACCATCCAAACACTGGAAAATATTTTTGAGAAATGTAATTCATTTTCCAAATTTCATTTTCCAGAAACTGTTTTCAGTGAAACAAACTGACTCTTATTTTGTAAAAACAAAAACTTATCATTTAATCACGCTTTAGTCAATTTGATAAATAAGTTGAAACTTTGAAGAAAAAATAAAAAAATGCAAGACTAAAATGATTAAACCGGTAAATCAAAGGAACCAAAAAGGTCATCTGCCTTTTACTTGGTTTATTTTCAAATCAAATTCAAGTGTTACAATTAGCCGACTGTTTGGTAGCTTTGGAATTTTGGACTTGTAGTTCTATAAAAGAACACTCTTTAATTATAAAACAAAATATTGTTAAACCAAATTAGTAAAGGGAATTGGTTTTTAAAAATCAAAATATGATTACATTCATTACATTTTCTTTCTAAAACCGAACAAAGCAGTTCGCTCAAAGGGCACAAGCATTCGACACATTAAAGCAGAGAACCAACATCACAAAACACCAAACATGTGCATGGCCACAAAGATCTGGACATTGAGATGCCCTCTGCTAAAAGGCAAAGTTCATATTCATAAAAACAATAACTTACCATGTCCAAACAACATTTATTAAACAATAAAAATGAATATCCCAACAAACCAGTACTTATTGCTCAAAAGTAATCTAAAGCATATTATTCAAGTAAACTAAGCAATGCCTCAAAATACAATCTGATCGAATGAACTAATACATCGAATAGTTGTCACTAACCCCAGGTCTGATCTTCTTATAAATTGCCATGCCAATAGGAAGAATACAAGCAAGTGCAACCTGAAGTTGATCCGAGCTGCTTGTTCGAATAGTTATCTGTCCGCTCATCTTGTTGTTCAGTCCCGCACGAACTGCTATTTTTGAGCTCCGTCCCATGGAGAATTGAGACTGAAAATTGGCACCCAATGCCAAGTCCCCTCTCCATTTGACTAAAGACAAACCCAAAGAGGATTGATCCTGGCCAATTGGAAAATCAGCGTCTCGGAGCCGCATTTCTAGATTGGCACCATATGCTGCATCACCTTTAGACCTCACAGTCCCAGTGCTACCAATTAACATAAGCCGCTTTCCAACAACAATCTGATCCTCGAGTTTGAGTCCAGTTGCAACATTCTCACCTAGAAAAGTGACAGAAAATCCCGCAGCTGTTTTGTTCTTTTTGAGATTTTTGAATTTGGTCTCGCCTCTTACAACATAAGCTAATTGCTTTCCAACATTTTGGATGTCAAAGCCAGCCATGGTTGATCCATTTTCACCATGCTTGGCAGAAACCGAAGAATCCAAATGGATGTTAGACTCTTTCTTATCCTTGGTGAGTTGCACAGATACTGCAGCAGGAAATCGGCTGGCAATTGCTAGACTATGTTCAACATTAACACCATCATAGCCACAATCATGGTCCCAACCATGTGTGTCCAAAACTGGCCTCGCCATGAACTGATTAGTTGGTTCCAAGAACCGGTACCTGTACGCTGGATTATCAGCATCAAAGGAAGGTGGCAGGACCATATCAGGTAATGGAACTGGTACAGCAGCCGGGCCACCATTTTCCTGATCAACATCTTCCACCATGTTACCATATTCATCAACTGCAGGCTTTCCTTTCTTCATCTCTCTCATTCTCCTCAACTCCTCCCTCCACTGCTTTTTCTGGAGGAGCTTCACACGGTAATCGTACTCCTCAAAATATGCCTTCCTTTGCTCCTTGGTAAGCTTACCAAACTGCGTTTTCCTTAGAGGTTTGAATGGTGGGAGTTGGTTATACTCATCCTCGTCCTCTTCTTGATCCGAATCAGAAAAGTCAACCATGTCAATATCTGAGTCACCATTCTCACCACCCTGATCAGTGGAGAGTTTAGGATGGCTACGAGACTGCAACAGCCAAGATAACAAGTACGGAAGAGGAGGAGATCGAACACGAAAACCAAAGAGCTTCCGATGGTCAAATGGATCTTGAGGCTTGGTGAGAGAATTTGCTTCAGATAAGACTTTGACAGAGTAGCATAACAACAATAGTTGTGGTCTCCAAGTCTGACCATTAGGAAGAACCTTCTGGCCATCTCTATTCTTTCGGCATGACGGATGATTTTCAACAAGACAAACAGGGTTCATCAAACTTGGATTCATCATGCGTAGATCGCCAACAGCCTGAGCAACAGACTGCTGAACAACATGGGAACGTTGGGCAACAAACACCTCATAACTCAAAGGGGAACCAGATGGTCCGTCAGGGGGTGCAGAAGCAGCATGAGTCAAAGCAATTAAGGCATTTTTCCAGATAGAGGAGCCAAGAGAATTAGTGATTGACCTTAACAATGGCAGATCATTAAGATCCCGGGTCTGGCTGTCCAACCGGTCGACATAGACAACAACATCAGGGGGACACTTCTTTATGAATTGTTGTATAGAAGCCAGGATTTTGCGATTGGAACCTTGCTCCATGGCTGAAGATCTCAAACCTGGGGTATCAATGATCCTCAATTTAACACCGTCTACCATTCCTGTAATCTCTTTCACAACTGCCGTGGCAGGTTCAAATGCATCAATTGAGGTCTTCACCTCACCAAAGATTGAATTTATTGTGGCGCTCTTGCCCACGCCAATCTTCCCAAGCACAAGTATGTTTAAGGAGAAGCTTAAATCATCTTTACCCTCTGTTTCAAGCTCCAGAGCTTTCCTCTTAGCAGAATCAATGCTAAACAGTTCACTAGTTTGCCTCCCCGCAACAAGTGCCAGCCTATAAAGAACTTGTGCTGCTATAGAATCTTCTGTTGAAAGCCTGAGCCTCTGAACGAGTCTTAAGAATTTGATTCTTATAAGCTGTAACTTTTCCAATTTTGTTTTTTCTTCTTCACTCAAGTTGTTGGAGTCTCTCTGACTTGTTACAGCAGGACTAAATATGTTGGGCCTGTTTGGTCGAGATGCAGATCTTGCATTTTGCAGTGAGGATCCCAAACCTGCAGGACGTTCAACAGAGAAAAGCCTGGAGCCATCTTGCGAGGTTATAGTAATATTACTGCCATCAGAACCACCACCAGTTGCTGCTTTCAGGAGGGCAGCCAAAGCAGCAGAATCAAATAACCCCTTCCCCTCTCCTTCTTCATCAGTATCCCCTTCTTCATCTGAATCAATGGCAATCTGACCATCATTTGCCTGAGAATGATCAAGAGAAGTATCAGCAGAGTGAGAAGCAATGGCAGATCCTCTCTCTAGCTCTTCCAAGAATTGCTTAGCAGCTTCGGCATCCTCGAAGAACATACTTTCAGTCTCTTCATCAGATTCTGAGCCTCCAATTGCGAGGCCTTCACTCTGACGATGCTTCACTTCCATTTCACCTTCAAAACCAACTTCTTCAGAAACTGTAGTTTGTTCCACAGACTTAGGTGAATGAGATTCTTCTACTGCCATGGTTACCGATATTTTGTTTTGAGAATCAATATCATAATTCTCCATTTCATGAGCTGCCATGATTTCAGTAGGTTGAGGAGAATGATCCACTGGCTGAATTCCATCTCTACCCCCTCCATATATTTTATTAGGAGATGTTTGTTCCAACATATATATACCAGCCTCCTTGTTGAGGTCATTCAGCTCGGTTCCAGAATCATCTTTACCAAGCAGACTCCCACTAGCAGAATCAGCTTTCCTCTCAGCATCGATTTCTGAAGTCTTCTCAGGGGCCAAGACCTCGGAAGTTTCAATTCCATTGGTTGTCTTATCATGGCTAAGCTTATTAAAACCACTGTCCAAGCCCGCATTCCCAGCAACTGGAACTACCTCTGGCTCCTTGATCTCATGCGTCTTAATGCCCAAAGCATCTCCAGTTAAAGGTGTTGCATCAAGAGCCAACTCCTCTCCACCGGAAAACTTTGGAACATCAGCTTCAACCACCCTATAATCTCCTTCCGCAATCATAGGATTGACAAGCTTAGCTCCATCACCTGTCACCAAATTGTTCTTAACCATCCCAATTCTACCTTCCTCTCCGCTTTCCATTGATGAAACAGAGTGGTTAGTTTCACTAACGGAGCCCATTTCCACCTTGTCCTCCTTATCCCCGTTAACAACACTTCCAATATCAGGCTTCTCCATCGTATCCTTGCCTCTAAATTCCTCAAAACCATTATCACCACCCTCAAGCGAGTCGTCTTTCCAAATATCATTTGAACCATCAGAGCCAACAAAAGGGGCATCGCTAACATCGCTAACAAAAGGGTCAGCCAAAAAATGGCCTCTGTGGTGCTGTCCCCACATCATTCTCGTTATCACCAATTTTACCATTTTCATCGGCTTTCAAAGCATGTTCGCTAACAGAACTAGTTATCAAACTAGAATCATCATTCGAATCTAAATTCGAAGAAGATAAAGAAGAAGAACCTGGAGAGGTAGAGAGCGACTGAGGGGCGATTTCCGGGGCAGAAAGCTCGGCATCCATGGGAGGTCGGGAGATAAAGAATTAGGGTTTAGGATATGATATGGCAAAATTCGGATTGGGTTACTCGAATGTGTGAAATACCAGACTATAAGGAGGAGGAAAAGATAAGGTGGAGGAAAAGATAAGGTGGAGAGGAAGCCAAGGGTTCTGTAAGCTCGTAATTTACCATTGAATCTGTTTAGAATTATTTGTAAATAAGAAAAAAAGCAATATATGATAATTAAAAATACATATTGTATTTTTTTAATAAGTCTTGTGAATTTATAATTTTCATCGAAAATGGTTTTCATCTTATTTTTCCATGTATTATCTACAAATATATATATATATGCTTAATTGACATTAAAATTAATTAGTGTGAGAACTAATAATTATTGATTTTATTATAATATTAAATTATAACAAGCCATTCTTAGATTTTTCACACATTATAAAACTAAACAAAACAAAGTTTAATATATTATGTAAATCTATTAATATACTACTAATATATTTTATTTGCTAATTCTTTTTTATATTTTTGCAAGTTAACTAGATTTTTTACATGAATTTAGATTAACACAATGAGACAAACATTAAAAAATGATAACCATTAAAAGAAGTAAATATTTTTAAAGAAATGATAATCATTAAAAGAAGTAAATATCTTATAATCTTCTAAATTAAAATAATATTTTAATCTCAACATTATCTTTATTTTGATCTAATAATTTTGAAACATATGAAAAATTATGAGTTTTTATTTATTTATTAAATTTAGGTAATTACAAGCCAATAATTATTTGAAGATAATTTTCAATCATTTGATATTGAATACTCACATCTGTATCATTATTGATGATTGAACTTAGGACTTCAAAGAATAATAATAATTTCTTTACCACTAAGTGCGTAAAAATATGAATTTTAATATATATATATGACATGTGATCATTGTTTGTATATATAGTTCGATTTTTTGTTGCCCTCAAGTTTCAAAGCTTCATCCTGGTTAATCTAGACCGACTCAAGTCGCACACCTAGCTTTAGTGGATGAGTCTCCCAACAGGATTTTTCTGCATACACAATGACTCGAACTTGAGATATTGTTTAAGCGATATCAAACTGCTTACCACTTGAACTAACCCTCATTAGTTATATAGTTTGATTTTTGTAGTACTATTAAACGTGTACTTTTTAGGGTGAAGTACACAAGTGTACCTTGATAATAGGGCATTATTTTATTAAGTCCTTTTGATCACTAAAAGTTATAAAACGATCCTTCAACTACATGGAATTATTTTGTTGACTCTACTAATTATTCAAAGTTATAAAATGATCATTCGACTATTCAATTGTTTCAAACTCATCCTTTTCAATTAAAAAAATTGATGGTCGTATAAGGTAAAAGTTAACATGTTGACTAAGTATGATAAAATCTAATTTTAAAATCATTTGAGTTGTATTTTATGGATTGAATCTTCGTTTATATTATGTCATTAAACTGGTGCTTGAAAGCAACGATAATGCCAATAGACATAATTAAAATATAATTTTATCATATCTCATTCGACAGGTTAATGTCTAGCTCAGGCGACTGCCATTTTTTATGAAAAATAACGAATTGATACATATGAATAGTCAAATAACTATTTTGTAACTTTTAATAGTTATGAGACTCAACAAACTAGCACCATGTAGTCGGGGTCTCGGGGATCATTTGTGTTCTTTACCATAATTTTTAAAATAAATTTAATTCTAAAAAAATGGCGTGAATATATGATATGAAATTTTAAAAAGTCATAAAAACTAAAAGATGCAAGTAAATAAAAATAAAAATTTATTTTCGAAGATAAAAGTATAAAAACCATGTTTGATATTTTTCAGAATAGATTAATTTATTATGAAACTATGTAAATTCATTTAAATTAAAAAATAGGAGGGATTAAATGATCATGCAGTAAGAATAGGAGGGATTAAATGATCATGCAGTAAGAATAGGAGGGGTTCGCCGAGCATTCCGTTTTTTAGTTATTGTTTAGGGAATATATAAGGTTTTAGACGTATAAATAGAAAAAGACGAGTGCAATGGAAAATACAAGAACGGGTTGGGAGGGATCTTTTTTTATCTTCAACTATTTAATTAAATTATTTTTAAAAAAAAAACTATTTAATTAAATTAAAAATTTATTTTAATAAGGAAATTATTTGCTTCATTCGACTATTTCCAAATTTTAGTGTTGATCAATCTATGCTTTTGTTATAAATCTAGAAAATATAGCTTAATATATGTTCAAAGATTTGTATTTCTTTCACAAGGAACATTAATACCCTTACATACACAGTCACAGATGTACATTATTGTTAGAGTGAGCATGTGTCCACCCCGAAATCTTTTAGAATTCGAATTTTCTTCTTAAATTCGAAGTTTTTTCTATTAATATGTATTCACCCTGGAATCTTATCATGTCCATCTTGAAATGTTATCGTATCTATTTAAATATAAAAATATTATATTATTAATATATGTGTGCCCACCTTCAAAAAAAATTCTAGATCCTCGAGTATACATACCTAGTGTTCGAATCCAAAAATTCAAAGATAAATTCCTTAAATATTAAGGTAATTTGATTCATGTTATTTCTTTTTTTGAATTGATTCATGCTATTTTTATTACCATATTGAATTGATATTCTTAATATATATATATATAATATGTATATTTCTTTATACTCAAATTTAGGATTAAATTTAAAGTGTGGTTTAATATTTTTTTTATTTAATTAAACATTTAAATTTAACTTATTATTCAAATTGACATCTGATTTTTTTCCAAAAGTTATTTTAAAAATTTCCGAGTAAAGATGGATTTTTAAATGATTTTAATAGCAGAAATCATAAAAAATAATTCAAGAATTAACAATTTTATTAAAGCTCGTGTAGGGATATCTAGTATCGATAATTCTCCCCCAAAAAGATAAAAGTTTTTTTTGTTGGTTTGCTTTTGAAAGATAGCGTAAAGGATTAGGCTTTTGAGTAATTTTGTTCGATTTCGTATTTTTTTAATCAATTTTCTCATTATTTTATTTTGGCGTTCTACGTGTTGTTTCCTTTGGATTGACATATCTATCTTTTACATCTCTTGTTTGTTTGTTTGTTTGTTTGTTTGTTTTTTACAAAAAGGCAACCATTGGCCTAATCCTTTATTCTGAGGAAAAAAAAAACTCAATGTAATCACATGAAAAACGAGTTTCTAAAATTTTAATCAAATGAAGATTCAAAAGAACAAAAGATTGGATTGACTAAAGGCGAGAAGATGCTTGAGAAGTAGTCCTAGTATTTAGTATTATTGGTTCTCCCATTGGTTTGGGATCACCTTAGTTATTTCTTCCGGGCTATAACCATTGCATTTTATTTAATGTTTTACGTTTATGTTGTATGCAATACAATGTTTGATATAGTATCTTGCTAAATATATTGATGAAATCAATAAGGGTCTAATATTAAAATGAACATCGATGAGATAATTATGAAATCTCTCTAAATAATTTAAGTTCATTTTAATCGTCCACATAAGCCTATCTTAGTTAAACGCGAAGAATAAGCAAGTGATATTCACCGGTTGAAATATTGATAATAACTTAGCTAGGTTATTCACCAAATGGATGACTCATGACATGATTTGAACAAGAGTTGTTCATCAAATAAAGGAGTTACATGGGATGTAATTAGTAAGGTGATACTTACGTAAATAATCATTCTCCTAAAAGAAAAGCCAAAGTTGATTTAGGAAGAGGGTGAAATATGGATCCTCACTCACTAGAAAAACTTTCGAGATATTTTTTTCGAAATTGAAACAATAGGTTTTTTAATTTTGAAAAAAATAGTGAGAACATTTTGTAAATAAAGACCTATTTATAAATTTTAAATTCAGCAAATTATTTACTTTAAATATTTCCATTGTTGTATATTTAATGGCAAACAACACAATATCATTGCGATCACTCCTTGAGAAGGAGAAACTTAATGGCATAAACTTTCTTGACTGGTTCCGTAATTTGAGAATTATTCTCAGATAGAAAATGAAAGAATATGTCATTGAAGAACCCGTTCCTGATGAACCGACAACTAATGCTTCTAGAGCTGACGAAGACAAGTTTAAGAAACATATGGATGATATGTTAGACGTTGGATGTCAAATGCTTACCACCATGACTCCTGAGCTTCAGAAGCAACATGAGGACATGTTTGCATATGAGATGATTCAAAATCTCAAGGAAATATATGAAGGTAAGCACGTCAAGAGAGGTATGAGACCTCTAAAGTTTTATTTCAATGCAAAATGGCAGAAGGGATCTCCTGTAGGAGCTCATGTCATCAAGATGATGTGTTACATCCAAACGTTGGAAAAACTAGGATTTCCTCTCAAAGATGAATTGGCCACCTATGTTATCTTGCAATCATTGTCGGATAGCTTCAATCAAATTTTCCTTAATTTTAACACAAATGAAATTAACAAGACTTTGCCACAGTTACTTGGCATGTTACAAACTGCTAAAGTAACATGTAAAATGTTGGACATAAGCCCATTTTGATGGTCCTCAAGGACAAATGAAAGGGAGACAAAAAGATAGTGGCAAAGTCTAAGGGCAATGGTAAGGCCAAGCCCAAAGAAAATGATGCATTAAAACCCAAAGGGGGAGTTAGCAAGGAAGGAAAATATTTCCATTGAGACAAGACCAGACACTGGAAGAGAAACTACCATGTTTACCTTGAAGAGGTCAAGAACACAAAAGCAAACAAAATATTTGTTTATGGTATTTATGTTATTTATGTTAATTTGTCAACATCTACTTCTTGGGTATTAGATACCAGTTGTGGTTCTCATATTTTTACTTCTGCACAGGGAATACAAAAGAAAAGGAATCTGGCTAAATGAGACATAGACCTACGAGTGAGAAATGAAGCAAGAGTTGTTGTATTAGCTATAGAGACATATGTTTTATCTTTGCCTAGTGGATTTGATTTAAATTTAGATGATTGTAATTCTGTGCCTAGTTTGACTAAGAACATCATTTCTATTTCTTATTTGGATAAGATTGGATTTGAGATTATTATTAAGAATAATTGTTATTATTTTTATCTCGATAATATTTTT